AACCAAAAAGGAAATGTGGGAGAAACATGACAATGCAGGAAAAACAAATACACTTTAAAACGGAGAAATTTATCAAACATCTAGAAGAAAATATTCCCAGAAATGAAGGGGAAAATACTTGAATTGCAATGGCCCAAGAGAGTGAAAGAAACACACACCAAGGTATGTCATGACATCTCTGAGTACCAACGATCAAAAGATTACCCGAAGCTACCGGTCAGAGAGACCAAGCCACCTGCACAGAAGGACAATGAACACACCGCATTTCTCGAAATTAGCCCTGGATGCCAGAAAACAAAGAAGCAATCATTTTCAAATTCCAGGTAGAAAGTATTTACAACCTCAGATGTATTTGGAGTGCTAGGGTGGGAAATCAAAAGACATTTTAAGCATGCATTAGTTCAAAAACTTCTTTTTTCATGCATTCTTTGTTAGAGAGCTTCTAAAAAACATGTCCTACAAATAAAAAATAAATGAGACGATGGCAGGAGACCCGGAAACGCGTTCCAGCGCAGGTCACAGGAAAGTCCAGCTTTGTGGAGAGTGAAGCTGCTGGGAAATAAGGAGGGATCTCGGATAGGTGAGGACAAGCAATTCTTTTCAACATATGGGAAGTGGTACTCATGACTGTAGGTAACTACAGAAGACAGGAGGGGAGAACAAATAACAACAGATGCATACAAAAAATAACACTAAGGGCTGGGCATGGTGCTCACTGTGAGATCACTCGCCTATCATGTGCCTGGGTTAGATCCCTGAAAGAAAAAAAGAAATACTGAACAAACTTAAAAGGCAATTGTTAAGTTCAAGAAAAATGAAGCTAAGAGTGGTCATATTATACTGTTTGTCCACCAGGAAATAATATTTACACAGCCCAAATGTAAATCCTGAGTATTAATTTGGCCAAAAACTGTGTTATAAATGATAATCAGGGAAAAAGGGAAAACTCTACCTCAGCTAAATGTCTAAAATTGTAGCATTAGATGTAGCAATGAATAGTTTATAGAAATACAGGAGTAAATAACTAGAATAAAAATAAGACATGGCTGGTAAGAGCTGCCCTTTATAACCTCTGACTTTTGAAACTATTTCTTCAGTTAAAAACTTGGACAAAATATTTTATTAAAAAGATCTGGATAGTGGGCGAAAAGTAGATAGAGATGAAAGATGGGTTAGAAAAAAGTCAGACAACAAAGGCAAGACAGAAATGACAGTGGTGGTGATGGAAGGGAACACATTTCAGATTCTACAGATGAAACAGAAGATCTGCATAAAGGTAGGCTGATTAGGGAGATGGACATTAGGTAAAAGGACAGATTAAAAAGGGTTAAGGTCATGGTTTTCACCAATGAGCAAAATGGCTAAGATTTCAAATGGGAAAGACTGGAAGAGGAACAGGTGGCAGAAATCAAGAGCTGTTTTAAGATGTATTAGCAAGTACCAGGCTCCAAGTTTGATATTTTAAAACAAACAGCCGGGAATATAGCTCAGATGGTAGAGTCCTGGCCTAGCGTGCACCAAGTGCAGGGTTTGATCCCCAGCACTGTATATTCCTGGGTATAGCTCACAGGCCTGTAATATGAGCACTCCAGAGATGGATTTAGGAGGATCAGGAATTCAAGGTCCTCTCCATCCTCACCTACTTCCCAAACCTGGGCTAATTGACACTCTGTCTCAAAACAAAAAAACAAGTTGTTTTGAGAATTAAAAAAAAAACAAAGAAATATACTTTAGGGAACTATAATAGAACAAAGAAAACAGCACATATCTCATGAAGCAAGAACAAATACAAGTCTAGGAACTTTTTTGTTTGTTTTGGGGGTGTTTTAGTTTGAGACAGGTCTTACTATATAGCCCAGGCTGGCCTCAAACTCTCTCCACAAGCTAGGGATATATATAGCTCAGTTGGTAAGGTGCTTTTCCAGCATACATGAAACTCTGGGTTGGATCCTCAGCATTGCACAAAGCCAAGCATGGTGTCATACACCTATAATCCCAGCACTTGGGAGATGGGGGCAGAAGGACCAGAAGTTCAAGGTCATTCTGTCATATGTAAGTTTAGTTGGAGGTCAGCCTAAGCTACATGAAACCCTGGACTACCCCCCAACCCCTCAAAGAGAGAGAGAGAGAAAGAAAATAAAATCAGGAGCCTCTTGCCTCAGCATCCCTAGTGCTGAGATCACAGGTTTGCACTACGACAGACAGCTATAAACTTTATTAAAGAGATAGACAGCAAACAGATTATAAACAAACAAACTGATGCATATAATTTATATACTATGGAAATATGGGGAATAATTTGTTTCTTAATGTGAACTATGGTCACGTTTTAAAATTCTATTGGATAAGAAGCTTTGGAAAAGGTCATTAGCCTCCGTGGAAGGAGAACACCAAAGCATGGTATGCAAGTGCTTCTCAGGCAGCAATCTCAACTATACAGAACGAGGAATAATAAGTGCCTGGCAGTAGAGGCCATTCATTACTGACCTTGACAAAGGGCAGCCCAATGAATGGTGCAGGCAGAAAACATTTTAGAATGAACAAGAAACAAGAAAGCAGAAACCACCAGTGCAAAAACCCTCCTAGGAACCAGAAGCTAGAAAGCCAGAGTTAACTGTGAAAGGGCCTGTCAGAGTTCTTATGCAAACCCAGCTTGGATTCCTTCGGGCAGACCTGATAATGAATTTCAGTCCAGTGCCTAGTGGGCACCAAACACAACAGTGGCTGAACTGAATGAAATCAGAAAACAGCAGACCCAGCCCAAAGGACAGAGGATGTAATTTGTTTGGGTTTAAGGAAGGGGAGTCTAAGAAATCTTTGCAATAAGTTTAAAAAAAAAAAAAAGTGTTGGTAATGGTACATTTTTTTCTTCAAAAAATATTTCATAGCATTAACCAGATTCTCAAAAGGGCTAATAACCATCAGAAAGGTAAGAACAATTATTTTAGGGGCACAGATCTTAACTACCTAGCTATATTCTTCCCTTCAGCAAGTGTTCAAGTTACTTGTTACAATGAAGTGTATCATCCCATGATCCCCAGCCAAATACACAGATTGAAGTTCTAACTTCCTGTGTTTGGAGAGGAAATCAAATGAGGTGACAAAGGTGAGGGCCCTGTCCCAGTGACCCGGCATCAGGCACAGACTGAGAGGACCCTGTGAAGATACCACAGAAGACAGCCATCAGCCGTCCACCTGCTTGAATCAGAGGCCCTTAAGCCCCTTAGGCTTGAGACCTCTAGAACCGTGAGAAAATAAGTTCCTATGGAACAAGTGACCCAGTCTGTGGTATTCTGCAAACTAACAGGGCACCCCAGCTTCCCAAGGCTCGTTCAGTTCTTCCCTCCTCTCAAGCCTCAGCCACATTCTAGTCAAAACAGAAGATTGCCCTACCCTGTCATTAGGTTTCCCAACAAGTGACAATTTACAAAGCTATTAGTTCTAAAACATCATACCTTACCTCTTACCCATTAGTTTCCTGAAACTAAAGGCCAGACATTTTTAAGGAAAAAAATGAATAAAAACAACAGTCCAATAGTTATTCAAAGTTGAGAAAGCAATCAGGACTTACGGTATCTCTAAGGAAGTTTAGCAACTGTTCTACCACAGTCACAGTATGTCACATTCCCACTCAAATTAGAAAAGATAACATATGCTTTCCTCCTTCAATACATCGTCCAAAAGCACAAGGATCTGCTTTTCGTTATTGCAAAAACTTGAACTGGGAGCATAGCTTAAATGGTTGAGTACTTGCCTGGCATGCAAGAAGCCCTGGGTTCCATCCCTAGCGTGGGCACAAACTGGGTATAGCGTCACATACCTGGAATCCCAGCACAGGAGACAGAGGCAAGAGGATCAGAAGCTCAAGGTCAACCTCAGCTGCACAACAAGTCTGATGCCTGCCTAGGGTATGTGAGACCTTGTCTCCAAAAAAAGAACCTTAAGCATCAGCTAAAATAAATGAAATCACATTGTTCACACCACATCAGAAAATTGAGAGGCGTTGCTTAATTGTTTTGTCGTCAGAAAAGAAAAGCTGTAAATCAGAATTTTTAGCTCTGGTGTCACAGGAAAAGCACCAAAAATTTTAGGATTGGGGATTACCTCAGCAGTTTAGCTTATGCTTGGCATATGTGAGGCCCTGGGCCCTGTGTTCAATCACCAGCATCTCTGAAATAAACAAACAAACAAACACACCCACATCCACACCCCCTACAGGTATCCAAATACAAGTGCACGTCTTTTCCATTATATGGAGCACTGTGTAATGAATAAACTGTCTAGTATTTATATGAATTTTAATAATTTACTCCATCAACTCAAACCCATTCTTGTTGGTTGTGTAAATACGAATGCTCACTGGTGTCTATTTGAAATACTTTTCAAATTTTCACAACTGCTCAGCCCCTTTGCTGAGACCTGTGGTTATCATTTACTGGGCATAATAAAATTGCATGCAGAGCTAAGAATTAGGTTATCTGACCCTGGAAGCTTAATACAGCCCGTGTTTTTAAGTTCTGCCTGTGCTCGTCTCTGTTTGGAATCAGTTAAAGCCTGAACTCCAAGTAAATAAACAACTTCACGTGGGCTGAGAACCCTAGCGCGCCCCAATCACTGGTTAAACGAAGGTAGTGACGCCTCTCATTATTAGACTCAGAACCTCCGAACAAGAAAAAGGTGAAACCAATTTCCCTATCTTCAAATACAGGCCGCGGAGAAAATCTGGGTAGACTGTGGCATTAAAGGCAATCAAGGGCAGACCTGCCGGGGAGCATTAGTGTGGTTCAACCTAGAACCGGGATGCGAGCCCTGAAGCCTGTGCTTTCCTCCGGTGATGCCCCGGGGGCTGACATGCTAGGGGACCGGGCTCCATGAGCTCGCCCCTGGGTGGCCAGGGGACCAGCGAGGTCAGCAGACCCGGGTCGGTACACGCCTTCTCGGCTGGCTGCAAACGGAGACCCAACCGCCCTGCAAGCTAGCGCTGGACTGCCCGCACTCACCGCACACCATCAGCAGCAGGACGATCAGCAGCGTGGCCACGAACACGAGCAGGGTCAGCCCTACGTTGTGCCACATCTTGGGGGCCGGAAGGTGGTCGTCCGAAGGTGGCGGGTCAGCGGCGGGCGGCGAGGCGGCGGGGCGGCATGGGCGGCGGGTGCCCGCGGGCAGCGCCCCTAGGGGGCGGGACGGGGCGGCGCGGGGCGGGACCGCGGCAGGACCGGGTTGCTCCTCGTCCGGCGGCCGGGGCGCGTGAGGAGCCGGGCCGCAGGGCGCCGCTACTGCCTCATCGCTCCCGGGAGCGGGGGCCGCGGTGTCAGGAGAGCTCGGCGATGGCCGGATGCGCTTTCATGGCGGACGCCAAAGGGGAAGGCGTGGGCCCGAGGACCCGCAAGGCCCCGGCTGGCGGCTCAGGTGAGGTTCCCTCGGCCCACGGAGACGCCAAATGTCAACGTCTCCCCGCATCCGCAGCTGCTCCTCAGCTCCCGACCCCTCCCCCGCGGCAGCTCATCACCAGGCGCCCCCTCCGCTAGCCTCCGCCGCCGCGCGGGGCCCTCTGGGAGATGGAGTGCGAAGGCCGGTGCGAACTCTGAGCCTTCGCCCCGAGAGGGACTACAATTCCCAGGAAGCACCGCTGCTGCCCGGCTTTGCCCTGCTCTCCTTTCTTGTCTCCAGAGCCTGGTGTTCTGGAGCTACCAGCTCTCAGGACTGCTGGCTCTATTCTCACTGCCTTCGCGTTGAGCAGTCCCGCCTCCTGGGTTCTGCAGACGCGCCAGTGACACTTGAACAATTAATCCAACCCCAAATCGTTTTTAGTTCGCAGATGGGGAGAGAGGAAGGAGGTTGCCTGAAAAACCGGTTGCATTTGAACCCAACCTATTGCTTGGGGCGAAGGTTGGATACTAGCGTCTTGTGAGGAAGAAAGTCCATGACTCGAGGATCAGGGAAGCCTGTTTGTTTTCCTCTTCTCCTGGCAACAGATGTTGTGTTGTTTTCATAGGTCATATACTTGTGAAATGACTGGTGAGTGACTTAGGGACACCTGTGCCCTTAATTCACCTAAGTGCGTAGGCACTTTTGCTCAGCTCCTTCCTTGAAATCATCTCTGATGACCCACAACTGAAGATTTACTTGAACAGACTTGGGAAAAACACAATGATAATCGCAAGCACTTTTCTTCTACTTGAAATTAAAACTCTCAGATTCTGCCAGATTCATAAGGGCAAGAGATGCCCCTACAAGAAAAAAAAAAAAAAAAAAAAAAAAAAAAAAGAAAAAAAATGGTTCTTCTTATAGGTTTCGAGGGTTACAATTTTTTTTAGAATCTTTTTTCCTCCACCACTTCTCCACATTTTTTTTTCTCCTCTTCGTATAAGGATTCAGAGCGTTCACGTTTTCCTGAGACTACTGTTCCCTACAACACTTCTGCAAATTTCTGTTGCCTGTCTTCATGCCTCCACAAACAATACATTGAAGGAATCCCTTGATTGAATATGTCTTCGCTATTCCCAGATGCCCCACTGTATAAGCTGTATTTCAAATAAGGGGTATTGTGAATAAATGTTCTATATGAAAATACATTAAGGCATTGCTGACTTTACAGAAGATTTAATATACGGTTCCTGTGAAGAGATAATCTCAGTGCAATAAGTTTAGAAATCAATTTATGTTTTCTTTATGGGTGATTCAATTCAATTACATAACGACACATTTAATTAAAATTTGATTGAAAAGAACACATTTGAATAAAATCTAGTTCAAAAGAAAACAAAGGACTCAGGGATTTATCCTCACTTTCATTCACATTTGAACGGGTATGTGTGCCATACACTTGTTTGAGGCACTGATGACAGCAAATAAATAATGCAGAATGAGTGGATAAATAAGGTGCTTGTGCTGAAGAATATTCTAGTGTAACTGGACGATATGACTAACATGAATAGGGATATCCAGGAACTGAAAATTCCTACAGTGAAAAACAGTGGAACAGTGCGGTAAACATGGGGTGTTTGGTTGTGGGCATCAAGGAAGGCCTACCTGAGGAAGTGACATTTGATCTGCATCCTGAATAAGAATCCAACCAAGGAAAGACTTACAGGAAAAGGTAATGGATAAGAGCAGCTTGTGCAAAAGTCACAATGAACAAACAAACTTTGCTCTCCCTCTGAGCCTTGGCAGTGTTTCTCAAGCCTGTGTGCACATTTGAATCACCTAGGAGGATTTAAAAATTACACATGGCCATATCTTACCCCCCGACTGAACGAGTCCCTAGCTCTAGGGCAGGGCCCAGGCAAAGTGGATTTTAAAAGCTCCCAGGTGATTCTAGTGTGTTCTCTAAAGTTGTGGCTCTCAAAGAACAATCTTAGGATCAGCAGGATCCTCTGGGAACCTCTTAGAACTGTCCCAGAACTATTGACTCCAAAACCACTATGGTAATCTAAGAAAAAGGCTTGGATGAGGGCAGTCATGCTGAGTTGGTGAAAAGTGGACAGATACAGGACACAGTTTGAAAAGAAATCCTCAGGATTAGCTGATGGGCTTCAGGTAGGGAACTATGAAGAAAGCAAAAACCTTTACCTACTCAAAGGGCCTGGCCCAGGGACATACACCTCAGCACTTGGAAGGGGGAGAAGGAAGAGCAGAAGTTCAAGGCCAGTCTTGCTAGTTCAAGACCAGCCTGGGCTATATGAGACACTAGCTCAGGAAAACAGGGAAAAAAAAAAAAAAATGGCTCGTGTTGAAAAGAAGGAACCTTAGACGCTAATGGGAATGTAAATTTATACAGCTATTATGAAAAACTATATAGGTTCCTCAAAATACTAAAATTAGAATCACCACATGATCCAGTAAACTCGCTGCTGGGTATCTATCCAAAGCAAATGAAATCAGCATGCTGAAGGGACATCTGCACTCCTGTGTTCAATGCTGCACTATGTGGCAACAGCTGAGACAGGGAATCAACCTAAGCTTCCAACAACAGAATGGAAAAAGAAAATGAGTTTCAGTGCCTCTGGCTGATGTAAGATAAGGCCATAAACTTGGTGATTAAGACACTGGAATTAATTCTCTTAGAGTTCTTAAGGCTAATAGTTCAAAGACAAGGTACTGGAGAGGTCATGCTTCCCCCAAAGACAAGAGGAGAGCTTCTGGTGGCTGCTGGCAATCCTTGGCACCCCATTGGCCAAGCTGTATTACTCCAAACTCTACCTCTGCCTTCACATGACCGTTCTTCTTCCCTGTGGGTCTGTGTCTTCACATGGCCTTCATATAAGGATACCAGTCCTTGGACTTAGGACCGATCCTAATCTAATCTTAATGTAATTACAGTTTCGAAAACCATACTTCCAGATAAGTAAGGTCACTGTGACATAAACAATGTAAGGGGAAGAATTATTTCAGCTTGTGGTTTCTAGCAGTTCAGTTCATTATGACTGGGAGGGCATCCTGGAGTAGAGCAGTTCACATCTTGGTGGACCAGGAAGCAGAGACAGACTGGAAGTAACCAGGAGAAAATATACCCTCCATGGCTCACCCCATCCTCCATTACCTACTTTTTTCAGCTAGTCCTGTTCTAGTTTGCTTTTTGTTGTGATAAACACTGACTGAAAACAACTTGGGGGGGGTATTCAGCTAGTCCTGTTCTAGTTTGCTTTTTGTTGTGATAAACACTGACTGAAAACAACTTGGGGCGGTATTCTAGCTTACAAATTATATCCCTTCGTCAAGGGAAGCTGAGGCAGGAACTGAAGCAGAGACCGTGGAGGAAAGCTGTATACTGGATTGCTTAGCTACCTTAAAAAAAAAAAAATGTTATGTGTATGAGGGCTTTGCCTGCAGGTATATAAGAGCACCCATGGGGTGCAAAGCCCACAGAAGCCAGAAGAGGGCATTGGATCCCCTGGAACTGGAGTTATGGATACTTGTTATCTGCTAAGTGGGTGCTGGGAATCCAACCCAGGTCCCCTGGAAGAACAGCCAGTGCTCTTAACCACCGAGCCATCTCTTCAGCCCCTTAGCTAACTTTCTTGTACAGCACAGGCCCACCCACCCAGGAATGACACCACCCTCCTACATCAATTAACAATCAAGAAATTTTCCTACAGACTTGCCCACAGGCCACTCTGATGGAAGAAATTCAATTGCGTTTCCCTCCTCCCAGGTGACTCCAGTTTGTGTAAGTTGAGAAAAATTAACTAGCACTAGGCCTCACTTCCCAAAACTTCCAAAATGCCCCCAAAATAGCATCATCATCTAGGGACTGAGCATTAAAAACATGAACCAATAGGAGATATTACAGATTCAAACTATGACCGTCAAATTTCTATAGTTACTGGTGGATATGAGTTTAGCGGGAACAACATTATTCAAACCACTCATGGAAGAACTGTAATTTGGGGTGCTTTCCTGTGTCAGTTGAGCAAGCCAGTTACAGATCAACAAAAATGTGCCTGACAGCCTACATTAGTCATCAAAATACTTTTTGAAAAATGGCAACTCCTTCATTTCTAACTCCCAAATATCTGGGCTGGCAAGATGGCTCAGTGGGTAAAGGTGCCTGCCACCAAGTCTAAAGACTTGAGTTCAATCCCAGGGACCCACAAGATGGAAGGAGAGAACTGATTCCCACAAGTTGTCCTCTGATCTCCATACATGTGCTGGGGCATGTGCATACCGCCACCCCTACACACACATGCAAAATATGTTAAAATGTAATAAGTTTTTAAAATATATTAATCTGAGATTTGGACTTGGCAATTCATGCCTGTAATCCCAGTAGTTGTGAGGCAGAGGCAGGAGGATCCCTTCAAGTTTGAGAACATTCCAGATCAGCCAGAGCTATCTAGTAAGACCCTGTCTCAAAAAATTTAATCTGTGAAAACAGTGTAGTGGATTCTCAAAAAATTAAAAATAGAATTAATATATGATTTAATAAGTCTATATCTGGGTATATATCCAAAAGATTTGAAATCAGTATGCCAAAGAGATATCTACATCCCCATGTTCTATGGTACAATTCACAATGGTGAAAAGATGGAATCAACCTAAGATTCCATCAGTGGATGAATGAATAAAGAAAATATGGTATATGCACACAATGGAGTATTATTCAACGTTACAAAAGAGGGAAATCTGTCCATTTGTAAGAACACAGATAAACCAGGAGGTCATTGTATTAAATGAAAGAAGCCAGAAACAGAAAAACGAATAAGGCCTGATGTTGCTTGTATGTGAGATCTTAAAAGGTTAATCATACAGAAGTTAGGAGTAGAATAGAGGTAACAAGCCTGGGAATCTTAGTGGGGAGAGGGGAATGCAGACAGGTTGGTTGAGCAATACAAGTTAGTTGCATGGGAAGAAAAAGTTGTGGTAGCCTGTTTACCTCACCACAGGGGAACTGTAATCAATAACATTGCCTTATATATCACAAAAGAGCCAGAAGAGATTTTGGTGTTGTCACAAACAATTATGTTAACCTGATATATATCCTGATATCCTGATTTGATCATTACTAAATGCACACATATCAAAATGTCATATTACACACCATAAATACATACAGTTGTGGGTCAATTAAAAATAAAAGCTGAAGCTATAGCTCATTAGGAGAGTATTTGTCTAGCATGTACAAGGCCCTGGGTTTTCCCTCAACACCAAAAATCTATACATAAGTAAGCCAAATAAAAAATAAAAAAAATTTAAAATATTTATCTGCAGGTAAAGTGGAGGAGAGATTGAGAAAAGACAGACTGGAGGTTGTTTAAAAGATTATTGCCAGTGCCCAGAGCGGTGGTGCACACCTTTAATCCCAGCACTTGAGAGGCAGAGGCAGGCAGATCTCTGTGAGATCAAGGCCAATGTGGACTACATAGTTCCAGACCTGCTGGGGCTACAGGAAGACACACACACACTTGTAATAATGCACT